GCCATGGCAGGGGAGTTGGAACTGGATGATCTTTGAGGTCCCTTCCGACCCAAACCATTCTGTGATTCTATGATTTCTTGGCACACGGTGGTGAATATTATGTATACAGAGGGACTTTTTCCTGTTATAATTACAGATTGGTTGATGTGGTATCAGCAAGATAGTTAGGAGATTGTGACTTACTGATGGCTATAACTACCTTGAAGTTTGCCATTGGTAAAAGGGGAAAATATTCCTTACTTTGTGCAGGATTTGGAGTTCTACATATAAAAAGTTATATCAGTGTACTGGTGTTAGCTGTGCTAACACAGGGTTCACCAAGTCCACAAGAGGGATATTAATTTTTACTAGCACAGAAGGAACTCTTAAGGCCACAAACTTTCCAGTACATCATCATTGTTATTTGCTTGTATGGTGGTAGCCATTTTGTCACAGAAAGCATGCTGGCAGTCAGTTACAGTATTTATGTGCAAACCATTAAACCATTATCTCTCCTGAGATTTTCTGGTGGCCTTTAAATATAGAAAGTATTGCAACCAGAAAAATATCTTTACGTAAGTTATTTCTTACATTATGAGGTAGCTTTTCAAAATTTTACTTGTTGCTTACAATAGGTAGGAAGGTTTTTATAGCTCATATAGGCAGATAGTCTTAGAGTGACTTATTCTGCAAGCTCATGAAATCTCTTTACTCCCACTAGTACAGTCTTATGAATCTCCGAGCCACCAATTTCTTGCATATACCTGTTTATATACTCACATTTCTCTTTCTTGAATTTATCTTACTCTTGATGTATCTTATTATAGAAGCTACTATCTCTTCCTTTCTTAACTGAATGTAAAGGTTAGATGAAATGACCAGAATATACGAATAACTTGCTTTTCTATTTTATGACTGACTTGCATTTCAGTAAACTCCCCACTGAGCCCTTGAACAGAAATACATCTTAGTTTCCTTTATGCGTATTTCTCATCCCTGCTTCTGCACTTATGGTTTGTGCTACTTACGTGGCTGGTGTACTTCTGGGCAGTCCCATAGCGTTGGTTGATGGCACAGTAGGAAGTGAAGGAAGAACAGCACTAAGGAAAGCTACGGGATTCTGAATCCGTCCAGTTGGGGAGATAGGAGCAGGAGTCACACTCTGCGGCTGAAACTGTTTTGCACTGAATGTGGAAAGTGTTAATGGAGGCAACATGGATTCTTTAGGGCTTGGTAGAGACTGTTCACTTTTGCTTGTAAACCCTCCTGAAGACCTTGATTGGGCAGGTGGAGGATTTACTGTGAAATTTTCCTTGTTATTTGTTCTTTGAGTTCCTTGAGGGATGTTGCTGAATGTTGTAACTGAGGAGCTAGGAGAGGAGCTGGTAGGCGCTGTGGTTTGTGATGGTAGGAACTGCTTAGGTCGGGTATAGCTGAATGCTTGTGAAGCAGAGGCTTTGCTTTGTTTGTAAATAGTTGAGGTGGACTGTTGATGGAGTGAAGTAGCAGAATTCAATAAAGCTGTGTTGAATGACAACTCTCTTGTAGATGTCTGATGCACCTGCTGTTGTTCAAGCAAGACCTGGTTGTGGAGCTGTTTTAACTGGGTCTGATCACTGCATATAAAACAAAGACGAGCAAAATCGGTCATGAGCCCTGAATGTGCTGGATGACTACATTTCCACATGTGTATTGTGAGAGAAAACTTCTATGCCCTGTGATACAGTAAGAGGTAGGGAGAACTGCTACATGACATACTCTCTAAGAGTATGAGGACAGCATAACATTAGTTTGCTACTGAGATTAACTTTTCCTTCCTATCCCCTTCTTTGCCAGAGGCACAAAAGCTTTTTGTCTGAAAATTATTTGACTGAAGATGATTCTTACATTTTAACACATGAAATACAGATATAAATCTTACTTAAAGATATTTAAAGGATAGCATTGTCAACTTCTGCTCTATGTCACCTTAGCACTTGTCTGCTCGTGTCACTAAGAGTAGGTTTTGGGTTATCAGATTTTAAATGAGCATTTGTAAGCCAGATTGCAATTTTTTAGCTCCTATTAAAGTGGGTTCTGGAAACAGCATTTTGGCTAATAAAGCTTTGTAGTAATCCCCCAAAAGAGATACTACCAACGTAGTTTAGGTGGTGATGACATTCGGTGACAGGCAGGAGTGCGTAATTTAGAGAGGACTTGCATTTCATGCAGTTGTTGTTTCCTAGATGCTATCTACTGTATATGTCTTCAAGGCTTTTTTACTTCACAATTAAGGAAAATTATTTTGCTTTGTCAAGTGTTTTTTTTAGTTATTAGGTATCTGGAAATACAGCATATAGAAAACAGGCTGACTTTTCCCCTTGCAAAACCAAAAAAGACATAGAGGATATGGAAAGTGATCAGTAATAAACGATTGAGTATTAAACAACTATTGTTAAAAAGTGAAAAATGTAGACGTAGAGACCAACTACAGCTGGTACTCTCAGACCACATACATGAAGTCAATAGAGCTTCTTTTTATTTAAAAGAATTATTGTTTCTCTAATTTACTAAACAAAAATCACATTAAAGGTAGATAAAGATAGCAATTTCAAGCTTTCAAAAAGTAGAATGTTAGAGAGTTAGAAGTTGTGCAATCCTGATTTTGTGTCCTTCATATACACATCTGCATAATAATGCTCTCCTTTGTTACAGGTTTTTTTGGGGGGGCTGTTGAGAGAAATTCTGCTTTATGCAAGCATTGGGCGACTTAAATACTGCTTCTGCTCCCCCCTTAAACACACTATAGCTCTGAAAGTCAATAGGGCTGTGAATATATTAACAAATTAAAAAAACACTGCTCCAAGTTCTTTCTCTGCTACATGGTATGTAAGTTCTGTCTTCTGCTTGTAATATTTATGCTATGAAATTACATCCCTGCTTAAGAGTATTAATGAATTACTTTATAAATTCTTTCCTGAGCCTTAGTTAAAGCTTCTGCCTGTTTGAGATGTGAAATGAAGGACTCTGCATGGTTTTTGTTAAACGAGACTTAGAAGATTTCAAAAATACTGGAAAGAAGTTTCTTAATAAATTCCATAAATTGTCCTCTAAGAAAACTACACTACTTCTTAAAATACTCCCTTGAGCTTGCAGTGCACTAATTGTGCAGGTGCTTTTTAGTTCAAGTGGTTTCACATTATCGAACATTTCCAAGTATTTTATCTGTTTTAGGAGGAGATTACGTTTGTGAGACATAAAAGTCATGAGGCATGGCCTTTGGGACTACAGTTGCTAGCTAGTTGCTAGCCCACACTATGTATAAGACTGAATAAGTCTGGTTTTGGCAAAATTGCATACTCAGAATTGAGTGAGATGTATTTGAAGAACCTGCTTTTATTTTGCCTGCATAAAAGCAATGTTCACATTTTGTTTGCAGCAGAAAACATAGTGTAATTAAATAGAATTTCAAGGGGAAAACATTTTCCTTTTAAAACTGGAGAACACTTTTCCCAAGAGGGATATACAGAAAAAAAATACCTAGCTCTGTAGGATATGTTTTCTAACAGTATGGTTTATTAGGCCAGCACCATGTGATACTGTCTTTTTGTTCTATGTTTGGAGTTTTCTGCTCTAGTGCAATAGTTTCCTGATCTATGAATACTAAATAATATCAGTGATGCTCCTGAGACTTAGAATTCCTTTTACTTACAGCTTTGGTTTAGCCAGTACTGGGGGGGGTTCCTTGGATGGTGATGTTGGCTCTGGTATTTTCATTGGCTGTCCATTTATCCTCTCTTGGAAATAGTTGGGTCTGATTTGGTTTCTGGCGCTGGGTCCATCCTCTGGTGATGATTCACTTCCTTTATCATCTTCAGGCAGCTTGAAGTGCACACGGAGCCCTATCTTGGAACTTGATCTGGGTTCATTGTGGTTCACAAGAACACCTTCAAGTTTAGGTTTGGGGGTTTGATTTCCTACATGATGGGAAGGAGTATGTGGGGGAAGTTGATGGTCAGTAATTAAGTTGATTGAGCTCGTTGTGTGAAGGGTAGCAGCATTATTACTTTCTTCAGATGCTGAAATAGCAAATATAAAACTTTTGTTGACAGGTAAATAGTATAAATTATAATGAAATGAAATCACAAAAGTTACAGTTGGAAAAACTCACTCTTAAGTCCTTCCAGCTGTTGGACTGAGTTGTTTGACCTCATTGTTTAACAACAAATTCCCTTAACAAAGGTATATTGTAAAGGCAGAGGGAAGAGAGACACAATTCTAGTTTGGAAGATCCAGCGTGTCCCCCATGAATTCCTCTAGCATCTTTGAAATACAAACTTACTTTTCAGAGAATTCTCTAACTTTTTAGTTATGAAGAATATTGCCAGAACTTGAGCTGAATTGGAGTCAACAGTGCACTCTGCTTTGCTCACTTAACGGCTTAGAACCTTGGCAGCATAAATCATATAGACAGTATGAAATAATCTGTTTTGAGGTTTCCTCCTTTAGGCTCTGCACCAAAGGGTTATTGAAACAGCAAACTAGACAGTGCGTAGAGATTCCAAAAGTGGCTATTGCCCAAATCTTGAGGTCAGCAAGAGTTGTGTTTTTGGAAGGGCAGTGTGGGATTCATTCCCTAATGTTCCTTGTTCATTCACATTTCTAGCTGGGGAAGGACATTTTGAAAAGACATAGCAATCTGTATGTTCGATAAGCAGCCTGCTCTGCTTGTGTTTGCTAGCAAGCAAAGGACTAAAACAAACTCTTACCTTTGACAGTTAGATGAGCTATACTAGATACTGTGCCGTATTTATTGCTTGCAGTACAGGTGAAACTGCCAGAATCTTCTGAAAATACCTCAGCGATAACGAGAGTACAAATTTCCTCTGCAAAGCATCAGAGCAGTATTATTACTTGAAATGAACATGTGTTGAACAAACACACAAAGCCTTGACTACCCTCAGGGACATTTCCTTAAGGTTTTACACCTTGCTCAGTTTGGTTTTAGTTTCATCAGTCTTATCAATTTTGGCAGCCTTTGTGTGCAGCAGCTGTTATCAGCATTGTCTGCAGCAACTGGTACCCGCTGTGCTCCAGCATGCCCGATGAAACTGAAGAACAGGTGTCAGCAGTGTTTGGAAAACATTAGAAAATGTTTTCCTAATCACATGAAGTACAGACTTTCTCTCTGGAGAACTTAAAATTTAATTTTGGAGAAATATAGTGCTCTATACTCACAACTCACTAAAATATATGTATTCTTATCTCTTTGCAGATTGAAAGATTAGTTATAATTAACTGGGAACAATTCGAGTGGAGTCACTCTGTGAGGTGAAGAAATACAAAACACATAGGACTAGTGGCATTTTCCAAAAGTACCAGTGTAGGTTTGCAAATAGAGGGGATTGTGCTAATTGTGCTTATAGAAAGTTGCCTTTTCACTTCTTTGTGAAGAAGCCTAATGGGCACCAAAACTGTGCTAGCAAAATTGTGCTAGCAAAAATTAAATTCCATTCTGAAAAGTCAATCTGGGGTTATGACGTTCCTGTCTGACCAGTGTCTGATGTCCGGGCAGCAGTACCAGCTAATAAATACCTATGATGAGGGGATTTTAAATCTTTTCTTTGGCTGGGTAGCCACTTTTTCAACTAATCTGTAACTGTTTTGCTACCATTTTGCAGGAAACTTTCTAAACCCTACCGGATTAGTATTTTAGGAGTACTTCTGTAGAAGACCGTACCATACTTAAACTTGATTGTTTTATGTCATCACTGAGGAAAATCTAATAGCAACAAAGAGATTATTTGCTAACAACTATAGGAGAATAACAGTTTATTATAGTACTAGGAATATAGAACTAGTTTAAGGCATTACAGTATCTAGTTTATAGTACTTGGATTTGCCAACCACTGCATGCATGGAAGTCCAGATTCCTTCTGAATGAGCAGCAGATGATGAGGCAGTGACAACTGCACCGAACTGATTACCCTCTAGAAACTGCTTCACATTACTCAGCAGTGATGCCACTGGACAGTAAAGGAACAACATTGGTGGGTTCTGATAGAAGCTCCATTTATTCATTCCTAAGTCTCACCAAGAGACATTGCAGAGAGAGGGAGTCTCTTTCAAGACACTTCTTGGGGTAAAAAACTTTTAATAGGGCAAGAAGAAGAGTTACAGAAGTTTATATTCCATAAGAATTAATGCTCTTTTGGTAATTTTCTGTCCTAAGAGGGACAGCTTTATATTTTTAATAGTGAAAAGCCTAACAGGGGGAGTGATTGTCTCATGGAGAAGTAATCAAAATCTGTAAGGCTCCTTTGCTCAAATCAGGCAAAGTAGCCTACATTCTGCTCTGACCCTTGAAATTGGCAAATCCAGCCACTTTTATAGGACTTGCTGATATCAGGGGTGGAACACCTGATGTGATACTCTCATATTACGCTGGTAGGGAGCAAAGGGAATGGCTGACATGGCTAAACATCTGATGCAATTTTCCCTAACTGGTAAACTAGATAAAAATAACTCAGTCCTGCATCATCTGGTGTACTTCTGAATCTAAGATATACAGGGGTCCCTCATACATTAATTTTATTAATCTTTAGCTCATAAGGTGGTAACATTTAGGTCCTAAGTTAGAACTGGGTCAAAGCAGAACGGAAACATTATTTTCTTCAAAAGTAATAGAATTAATTCAGATTATATATATATAGAACAGTCTACATCGAAACGCATCTCACTAGTAGCTATAGAACATGGGGAAAAGAAGAAATTATGTTAATTAAATGATGGAGTTTAAATAATTAATATTTTGTGAGGTTAAATCACCACATTTGTATAATCAGAAAGTGTGAGCCTTTCGGTGATCCTTACCTGGTTCAGCCATAGATCGTGGTTCTAAAAGGAAAAAGAGCAGAATTAGTAGATTGACTGCATTTGAAAATTAAAGTATATGTTTACAACCTATCATGTATCATGTGCAAACATATGTATGTGTAAGCGTGCTAATGTAGACATCAGGTTACTTTTGTGGATAAATAAGCAATCCACTGCCCATAAGCGCTATTATAATAGCACTTAACTAAAAGAAGAAGGATTTGCGGGCAATGGAACTCTACATAAATGGTGCAAGCTCAAAACCAAACAGCAGAAATAAGGCTGAATTAGAAAAGGGCATTGAAGTGGCAAAAGGGATAGAAGCAGAAGACAAAACAATTCAATATCTTGGGGAATCTCAGACCAATACTACTTGTGAGTATGCTGTTCAATTCATCCCCAGTTTTGGCTTCTGGAACCCAGATTTATTGACATAAATACGGTTTATATAGTTCTTACTATTGTAATAAGAAATTCAAAGTGTTGCTATGTTATCAGTTTTGTTTGTTGCCTATATTTTATTAGACACAATATTTCTGCACAAGAAACATACTTTTCTGTAATATCCTAAAATCTGGAGAATCTTCTATCAGTGTTCCTTCTCTATACCATTCAACCTTTGGGGAAGGAGCTCCTTTCACCCGACATTCAAAGACAACAAGCTGCCCCTCAGAAGCTGAAATATCCTGTAACATCTAATAGAGAAAATGAATAGACAGTCAGTAAATATGTTATTGGTCTGGAAGTCATACTGATTTCAGTAAGATTTCATAAAGCCACTTAAATCCTTGAATGTCTTAAAAAATGCATAATTCCTTTTTTAATCTTTGATAGATATAAAATTGTAATGATCTCTTCATACAATTCATTGACCTCTTTAGTTTTCAAATATGTTGTAGAACAAATTACCTTTGTAAATACAGGAGCTGCAATTATAGGTCTTCCATCCAGTCCTTGCAAATAGTTAGTGGGGCTTTGAGCCTATGGGTTGCAAAACATCACGTGATAAAGTTTCAGTGGACAGAGGCTGTTTTTCCATATGCAGGACAAACATGCTTTTGGTATGACACAAAAGAGATTTCAGTGGGTGAAGTTCAAAGCAAGGTATCTAATGCCATGAGTAAAAGTTGCTCTATTGCAGACAACTGCTAGTGATCTTCCTGGATGGGTTAATGCCTGAGTAACAAAAAAGCTGCCTTACTGCGTTGAGTTAATCATGGCAAGGAAGGCTTTACTGCAGTGTATTATAATATCTTTCATTAATACTTCACTAAGGCGAATCTATATAGGTTGCTTGGTGGTAGTGTCCTTTTGAAAATTCTTATTTTTAAAATATTTATGGATGTTAATAAGGAAAAATTAAGTCAGTCATGTGAGTGACTGCTACTGTAATTCTTCTCCTTTGCCAAAACCATACAATTTCAAAGGTGGAATGCCACCCTGATGATCCTACTTAGTGAAATCAGAATGAAATTATTCCACTCCTGGAAAACTTCCTTATATAACTTGATTAATAGAGTTTTTGTTTTAGTGAAATAGAAGCTTTCCCCAGAAGAGCAAAACTGGTGATTCAGTATCTCAGGAAACAGCCACTTTGTAGTCAAAAGTAAAGGTGCATTAATTCACCTATTCAGTATCTGTTTATTGGTTACCACCTAATCCTAGGTGTAAACCTTGAAAAGGCAGCGTAAAGCATGTTTCTCATTAACTTTTCAGTTTTATTTTTAAGTAAATATGGCTCTTCTTTCCTATTAGGAAAGAAAATATTCAGATAGTTTGCAACAAAAAGGACTCAAAATGCATGCTAACATTAATCAGAAACTCTTTGATATGGATATTAGAATGTTATTTAGTAAATAAGCTTATCTACATAGAAAGTAAACATAGTAGTGAAATGATTTAGCTTAAAATAAGTTTCATTGAAAGAAAATAATTTTGAGTGAGTTCTGCAGAGAGGGAGAGGAAAAAGTCCTAGGCTGCTGCTATTGAAAGTGAATGAGTCAGTCTGCAATGTGAAGAGGGCAGTGAGCTGACTTACACATCCAGTGCCCTTCATGGCATGCAGTCTCTGACCTGCTGGAGCGCACACAGATTCCCGCCAATGGCTGAGCTAGTAGCAGCTGCTCCTTCTGCTCACTGCAGCAAGAGATGCCTGTAACCTGGGGATGAAAGGTTCCCTTCCCTTTGCCAGGTGCTAAAGGTTAGGTAGTAGGCAGGACATCTCTTCTGTGTGTGCAGCTACTGTATGGCTGTAAGGTTCAAAGCTGAGGTTCAACAGCAAAGCAAAAACTAGAAAAATTGGGGGTTCTGAGTCACAAACTGTCGAAGAAACACATTTTTAAGAGCTTGCTTTTGGTCCTTGAAATTCACCATGTTGCCTCCCCTACCTGATTAATCAGTGTTGACACAGGCTGGACAGGTACAGATACAGGCTGAACCACGGCAGATGGTGTCTTCAAGGTTTCTTGATGCTTGGTTGCAGTTCTAACAGCAGAAGATGCTGCATTCAAGGAGGTGTCAGCTGGCTTTGGTTTGCTGTGAAGTATTTACCAAAAACAAGTTTCTAATTGGAAGCTATGTGTGTATCCCTTAGTTATGTCTGTCCTGGTTACATGTCAACCCCAGCCTCATTTCTGGGATCGAATTCCAATTGATCTAAACTGATACATACTCTTAGGTAAACTGTGTTTTATAAGAATAAGGCTGCATGTCTTGCCACTCTAATCTCTCGTACTTTGTTCAGTTACACCAAATGTAATAAATGGCCTCGATTAACCCAATTGTGGCTTGAAAGCTGCTATTACCAACTCTGAGCAGCATGAGAGAGGAATGCTAGTTTCTCAGAGGGCAGTGCTAGTTTCTCTTGCAACTACCTAAGCTTGTATGAAGATTTGGACCTATAAGGTAATGAAAATGCCATGGTCTGCTTGGATATAGATTCAGTAATTTACTGCTGAAAAATAAAAAGAAAGATATGCTTTCTGACCAACATATCACGCAATTTTGATAGTGTACAGGTTGTCACTCTTCACTTCTAGGTTTTTCTGGATGGAAGTAAAAGAGCTGACACTATTTATTTTTATTGCTAAGTAAAATAATACAGACAATGAAGAGATAGTCTTTTTATTCCATTTGAGGTTTGCACTGGCTGCTCTGGAATGTACCACAGGTCCCCCCAGGAAAGCCAGGCTTCAAACCAGGGGGAGCCTTGCTAAGAATGAACATACAGTTGTTGTGATCATTGATTTCTCTTTTGAAATTGTGACCTTTTCTTTTGCACCTGTTCTCATATTAATTCACTTTCATTACAGGTGTTCAGATTCATGTGATGACAGCTGGAAGCTAAGCAAAAATAAAGACACTGATTATATCCAAACTTGATCTTTCATAATTCTATCATTTGAGGATATCCCACTACAATGTCAGAGCAGCATTCTCTTTTTTTCTAAGAAATACAGAATGCAATACATTACTTCACAATTTAATGAGGTAAGCAATTTAGAGATGCCATCACGTGATCAGGATCATGGTCAACACTACAGTAACACCTAATGAGATTAATAAGAAAAAGCATTATGCCTAAGACATTTGGAAAAGTTTGAGCTAGAACTATGAAAAATGTAGCAATTTGTCCCAAAACTTTTGAGGTTTTCTTGATCTTAAGTTTTATATTGAATGCTTGTATTTGTCAAAGTCTATAAACCAATCCAATCTGAGGTATTTTATGACTTTGAAGTAAAAATCACCTCAGGATTTGCTGTCAGCCTGAGATCTTCAGTCAAACACACTGCAGTGTTTTGTATTTGCATTGTAAAACAAAATGACATTTTTAATGAGTATAAGCCTCCTTAGTAAATAATGGAAAAAACCCAGTGTGCATAAGTCTATCTGAATAAAATTTCCTCTTTATAAAGCACTTGTTGCTTTTGGGGTTGAATTAATCCATACAAAGGTGTTCAAAATAAAAGACTGATTATTTTACTTTTAATCAGTCTGACTGTCTTTCCAGTTAATAAAAAGACTTTGATTCTGAAAGACTGTGGATTTTAAAAGCATTGGATCAGGTTCTGAATGCACAGGGAATGGATTTCATTTAGGAAAAATAAAATTACTTCCCAGGTTTTAGGTTACATCTGACACCTTTTCTTTCTTTTTATTATTAAATAGTCTTTTATACCCATCATTTCAGTTTACTCTAGTTCATATCTATTAATTTCATTCTCTTAAATCTAAAAAATCCATGTAAAACCATCTGCTGCCAAAAACTTCATGACATAATGTATTTTTGTGTGAGAAATTTTACTACACTGTTTTTCCAAGTCAGACACTGAAGTCAGCATTTAAGTTGGGTCTAGTCAAATGGCATCTGTTTTAGTCAATTAAATTTAGTAGTTTAATCTTTAAGGTAATGTATTTATTCTTATGTTAATATTTAATATTAAAGTTTCAATTCTTAAGCTAAAGTTGAGGATGCACAAGCGAATGTGTGTTTGTTCCATACTATTTGTAAAGCAAACAAACACATAAACAAAACCCAATCTAAATGATCCAAACAAATCCCAAACAAAAGCCTGATGTGTTGGAAGTTGTAAAATATTAATGGAAACTGAAATGTCTACACTTGTGAGTTTTTATACTGTAAGAAGTATGGAAGATGTAATTGATTTTAAACTTACTGATCCATTTCGTCTTTGATGATTTCACCTTCAGAGTCAGAAGAAGAGACTCCTATGAAAAAGGAAAAAAAATCACTTAGCAGAGGTGTTTTTGGAGAAGTTCATCTATGAATGATCAACCGTTTATTCAAACTTCCTCTAGAGCATTCTAAAGATATATATTATAAAGCTATGCCAAAAGAAATTATCACATTGCAATGGAAATGAACCAATGTTGCTTACTGTGTAAGATGCAGAACTGCTATTGACATAAGGCAGATTTGGGATGAGGTGCAACTGAAATGAGGAAAACAACATCCAGGAGTGAATGTATACTTGGCCCTTCCTCAGATTACTTTTAAAATGCCTCTAGTATGATTTAGTCTGTAATTGCTGTTGTGAATCAAGTGAGAGCTTTTTTTCCTCATATACTGAGAGCTTTTTTTCCTCATATACCTGATACTAACAGGTTTTTTTCTAAAAAAAAAGAGAGACCTGCAGTTCCTGCCAGTGAGCATCTCCATCAGCCATGGCTTCCATCCAGCATCCACTGAGTTAGGTAAAAGCAGGCCTTGGCCTCAGTCTCGAGAACTAGTAAGCCCCTGCCAAGCGCAGACATCTCCCATTAATGCCGGGGGCAGCGCAGATACTAAAAAAAGGATTTGTCCTTTCACTGTCTGATTAGAGACGTGAAAGAAGAATAACAGTAGAGCAAAGTTAACCTTTTATTAAGTAGGGTAGGTCCTTTAATTTATGAATGGTTGTCAGTGATAGTACTCATAGTGTATTTCTCTGCCTGGGAAATGGAAAAAACACAAAAGGAAAAAAAATTCTATGCGTTTATTTTAAATTTTTAATCCAGCTAGCACAATGATGGATGCAATCTAAAACCTTACCCAAAAGAAGTGTTAAAAAGAAATATAATAAATAGACCTCTCTTAAGCCAAGTAGGATATATTAAAAAGCATAAGGAGAAAGAAGAGACCTAAGTCTGCAGTTATATATTCTGTTTTATTTACAGCATCTATTCTGCAAGTAAAATATCAATTGCTGGCATATGTGTTTTGATAACTATCTCCCAATAATGGGTTAGGATGAAGCTATGCTGTATTGAATTTGTAATAATGACTGTAGGGAAAAGGGATTAATAAGAATTAGAAACAAAGTTTAGGTTCTTATATTTCTGTAGAGTACCATAGACAAAAAATTTAAGGTGGCATCAGAATCTGAATAGTTCTAGATTTTGATCTTGCAGTGAGACATGTAAAATCTCTGGGAAGGAACACAATAAAGTTATATATAAAGGGCGGTCACTTGTCTGAAGGGTGTTTTACAGAGAAATAATAAATACATTAATAATGACGAAAAGTGTTGACTCCCTGCTATGTATTTTTGGTGCTGAATCTATTTCACAGTTAACATACAAAATACATAATTGTATCTTAATCCTGTATGACCAATTTCAACAACCAGTTTCTGGAACAATTCTGACATTACCTTCTATGTAAATCTCTGCAGAAGTGGAGTCTGTCCCATAGATGTTTGAAGCAAAGCACGAGTAACGTCCTGTATCCTCCTCAAAAGCTTCAACAATAACCAATGAGTGTTGATCACCTGTCTGGATAATTTGAATGTCTGGTGAGTTTTCAAGCTCCTTCCCTTCACAGTACCACCTGCAAGGCAAAAATAGTGTTTATCGATGCAAACAACTTGACAACTAGAATGACAATGGTCGAAGTCTTTCTGAGGATAAAATGGGTGAGGTTTAGCCTGCAGATTCTGACAGAGTACTGCGGGCAACTGCTAAATCAACAGTCATAGGAATAAAATATTTATGATTTGCAAAGTATTCAACTACAGTAAATAATAGAGCTCCTTTTTTGCAGTATTTAAAGATACTAACAAACTAGTTTATGTAAGTGACTCTAGCACATATTTTCCTTGATATACAGCATTCAATAGTAGCTCTGAATTTGGAACGCTGGCAATTTCTCTGAATTTCTCTTGAGGTACATTCAGAGCTGTGTGGTGGCTTAAACTGTAGCAAAACACCCTGCCCCTAGGTAAACAAATTTCCCTCAAACTTGTGATTCCAAAGTTCATGTTGATCCAGAACGTGACTGAAATTTACTATAATATTACTCTTTATGTTGTCATATATTTAAGACACTTGTTTTTTATGAAAGATGGCATAAGTGTATCACAAGGGAAGAGAAGCGATCTATTACAATATAGAGGCACTTCCTTACAGGGACATGGCCAGTGAGACAGCTGGACCTTGAATTTGTTTCTGCATTGTATTGCTATGTTGCTCATTTAAACCCGGCTACACATCCAAGAATATATTGGGTCCTTTAGAGACTTCATGCTTTCATCTAAGGCATTTCTAAGTCCCTCAGTGTTTCAGCAGAAAATACAGGAATCCAAGCAAAAGTAAAAGCAGCACCTGAAAAGACAGCTCCATAGTATATGTTAATGATGGTAACCATCAGCTCAACCTGAGAGCTAGTAGGAGGGGAGAGCAGGCCTGATTGCTATTGCTTGTTAATATGGAAAAAACAACAGAAAGAGAAAAAGGTGGGTTTGCAAAACCAAATTCAAATTTAATAAGGCAATCTACGTTTTATAGAGCAGGTGTAGTACTATGTATAGGGATCCAGAGTTAAATGTTTGGGATAATACTCAGAAATACCTGTATTTTTAGATAACTAGCTAAATTTGAAAAGCCAAACTGAAGAGCATTCATCTTCACCATAACTTTTCTCATAAATATAGAAAGACATGAAACTCCACAAAGCTATTTATGTTTTCTGTTTACTTCTGCTTTCTTAACTATGTATAGTTGATTAATGTGTCTTGTGTGTGTGTGGGCGGAGGCCGACATACTGATAACATTCTTTATTAAACTGATTTTTTAAAATGAATAATTGTTTAATGCATCTTTATATGGTAAGTTAGTAGAAGTACCTGCTAGCTTTTGAGTGCATAGAAATGCTATCAAAGCAATGGCAAATGTATTTACTATTATATATTACAGCAAATAAGATTAGTTGTGGAAAGGGTAAGGATAGGTTTTTGAGTAATAATTAATATTTTCTGGCTCATACTATAAGGTGCTCTGATACATTTCCTTCTCAGATAATTTAGAAAAGCATTAATAAATAAATTTATTTAACCATTCAATTGTATTCACCTCTTGGAAGCACACATTTTCACAACAGTTTGTGCTGCAAATTGAGCATGAAGAGAACCCCGAATTAATATCTTGGGGAGAAAAACCCCTATAAGACAGTCCATACCAATGGAAAAACAGAATTTAATCAGAAGTATAATGTAGAATTGAAAAAGAAGCCTCAGAGGGCCTATGAGGTATGAAGGAGTACAGATCTGCAATTTAAATGCTGATGACATAGCTAAGAAGTAAACCATGCACTATTTGTGTTCCATCAGTCCTAGACATCCAACATGGCTTTCTTAAAGTAGACAGGGTGTTCCCCAGTCTACTTCGAGTTGCCCGTTAGTGTAATCTGTAGCTGTACAGTTAACTGACTTGAATGTACAGCTTGGAAAGCGTTCAGGTCAGCCTGTTATGGAGGGAAGCTCCTGCACTGTAGAATGAATCATACTGCTTAACACAATTTCCCCTTTTAGAAAGGCAAACCTTTGTAGCGAGAGAGCTAGAACTTAAAAGTCTTGGCTCGTGTTTACATCTGCTTGTTTATCCTCTTCTACAAGCCTTTATTGTAACAAGAATTGAATGTGGGTCTAAGAAAATGACTTTTACAAATTTAACATTTCCAATTGCAATGAACAGTCATGTCATAAATATCATGTTAAAAAAGGATGCCAGCAGGGTGTAAAATGTCCCAGCTCTCTTCCCTGACGTTTAACAGCTGAAGTATGACTTCATCCACATCCTTCTTGCAGGGTTTTACCAATGAGAAACTGGCAGTGCTTTATGCAGAGAACTTCAGCCAAAGTCACTCATTTCTCTCCAATTGAGCCTCAGAGCTCCGATAGACAAGCTCCTGTGGACGTGGCAGTACTACTTTAAAATGTTAAAATCCTCATGCTTACTTCTTTGCTGGAGGTTTCTTGCTCTGAAGTAAGGATGGCAGGTTCAAATGTATTCCCAGGCCCAGCTGCCCAGGTTCTGGTCTAATGAAAATGGGTTTGCGCCAGGACACTAGACATGTGGGTCTAGGATAACGGAACCATAAAAATTCTCCTATATATCACTTTTGGTAAATGTTAACAACCATAATAGAAGGGACTGGGCAGTGAGGAGGCTACAACTGCATCTTAAATGGCCATGGGTGTTTGCTTGAACTCAATGTGAGCCACAATTTAAGGGAGTATTCCTCTGTCCCTTTGAAGTTTGACATAGTTAATTTGCAAGGTTTTCTACCACTCTGGTGGGCAAAATGAGATGCTCCGAGGTACTTTCTGTCAGTGGACAATCTGTCTATGACAAACCTTTACTCCAGGATGGCTTTCAGCAGCCATTCATACTGCTTCTCAAACCTCATTGGAACTTGTTTATGGTGCTTCACAATACAGTTGAAAGCAGTGTTTTGGATATTAATCAAACCCATACAATGTGCAGCACCTTTGGAAATTTAAGAGACAGCTGCCATTACAAAAGGGATTAATAACATCAGCACATATCCTAGGATGCCAGGTGAGCTAACACATGTGAAAACATAAATAAGAACTTACTGAGTGTTCTGGCTCAGACTACAAGTCCATCTAACCCAGCATGCTGTCTTGACAGTGGTCAAAAGCAGACACTTATGGAAGAGTATAAGAACAGAGGGAACATATACATGTACATGTATGTATATTTGTACATTTCTCCCGAGTATCTAACCATTCTCTTTATCTTTTTTATCTTTAATCTTTATCTTTCATAAAGATAAAGCAGCCCTTAAAATAATTTTTAAAAGGGAAAATCAGTAGTCTCAAAGTGGTTATTTGCAAACTACTTCTCTTTTAAAGGATTTCACTATCATAGTACCATTACCATTATTTTCTAGTAGATTAGATTCTATGGTTCTTCACTAACATTTAGTTTGCAAATCCTGCTTTTTATTTGTGTAATCTGTGTTTTGAAATAATTGGTTTACCCTTCCATTCAAAATACATTTCCTTTAAAAATAATGAACTTTCAGTCTTCTTCTGATTGAGCTATAGTGTTCATATTTGATCATAGTCCAGTCAGGAACCTTCAAATCCTCTAATACAAACATCTTCAAAGAGAAGGAACAGCTACATCTGTTTTAGACTTTGCCCATAATGACTTGCCCAAAGCTGGTATTTTCTCCACTAATAATTAGCTACGACAGGGTTCTTTTGACTGCCTCCCCAGAAGTGCATATCACATTTACTTTTCTGTTCAGTGGTGTCCTTATAAACATGCAGAATCAGACACCACAGCTGGCAATGGGGTCCTTGGTCTCCAGAACACAAACATCTAGTGCCTGGGAAAAGGAATAACTGTACCATGGGTGAGCAGAGGAAACGTTTAGCAGTCCCAAGGGAGCTCTCTGATAACGTGCATTACCAGGTTGGTTGAAAAGGTCCTTTGAAATTGGTTAGGTATATGAATGTACAAGTCACCTTTGAGGTGTGTATTCATGCAGACAACTGTGTACTTTGGGAGGTGAGTCATGGCACTTACTCATGTCTTTTTATATACCTACCTCATGCCTCTTCCTTATAATGTAGCCTTGTTTTAGCACGTTAGCCTTAGCAGACAGGAAAAACTATTAAAGACAATACCTATGTTCTAGAATTTGATCTCATTTTCAGCAGCATCTTTTCAGAACATTAAAATAACTTATATAGTGCAGTGATAGTATATTTTTGTATTCACTTAAGTGTGGCTCCTCACTCAAGTGACACATAAAGCAAAACACATTACACAAAATGCTGTGATATAACCATCAGTAAGATATAAGAACTCTTTGTGTTATTGCTGACTGGCTTTTCCGGTTAACCTGTTGTGTTTGTGTAGAAATAAGTCTCTATTGCATGCCTTTGTGAGGCACGATTCTAATTTCCTATAAGCAAATTTAAAAACACCATGTAAGCTATTTCTCCTAGTTATTTTAGTAGTATGTGATTAGTATACATATATTCCTTTACTAGACTTAAACAGACAGTGAAGCAGGACTGAGTAGTTTCTTTCAGTTAGTTTTTCCTTTGACTAGTCAAAAATTTGCAACATAAGTGATTTAAAACTTCAGGAATAAACTTCTGTTACAAACCTGTATTTAGTTCTCCTATGCAGTGTGTTCTTTAGTCACTATTTTCACCGTAACGCTAAAGTATTTTGAGATTAAGCTGAAAAAAAGAGCATGCCACATATATGTTATCTCTTTGCAATGCTTATAAATGAAAAACTATTCTCTCCTGTAAAATTAAGCTTTATGTAAATCTTTGGTATGGCCATATCTACTACTTGATTATTAACATTTTATTTTACTCTTCGCATCAAAATGTTGCACATGGTAGCAATGAAATGTCAGTTCCAAGAGGAGTTCTGACATTGAGATACGTGGCATGACTGAAGTAGCAATGCTCTCTGTCACTGACATTTCATTCCTGCCATGAATTGTAATGATAGCTTCATCATACAAGGCAGGTTCACATTAAGCACAAGCACCATCAT